TTGACAACAACCAAAAAAAAGGAACTCACAAAGCGAGAAAGACCCGGCAGCAGCTCCAAGCTGTTACCGGATAAGAGCAAGGGCGGAAGCTACAGCGACTCCAAACTGCTGCCGCACAACTTTTGTGACGCAAAAAACAATTCCTAGTTTATTTATAATCACCACATTAAATATCATGGAGGCGGGACTCAAGTCAGGAGACGGGACATTTACATAACACAAGGAATCGAAGGGCAACTGGGAAAGGCGAAGAGGGTTTAGCCATCAACTTCGTTTTCTTGCTGTTAGCACCTTCTTCCTTTTGCAGCACACTAACACGGGAACCTTACAATGACTATCCAGACGATTTTGGAATTCTATGCGAACAATGAATTAAAAAACGAAATATCATTAATTTAGCAATAGCAATAAATAACACAAAAGGCTGCCAAAAAAGTCGTAAGAGCGAGCCGATTTTTATCTATTCTATGGTAATCTTTTTAAGCAAAGAAAAAAATTTGGAAATGTGTACGAAAGTTCAAAATCTCTAATTACAGCAAACTAGAATTCTAAAAAAAACTCAAAAATGAAATAAAAACAGCAAAAAAGGACACTTCCGAGTCTGAGCAAAGCTAACGAACTAAAACAATTTTTAGAAATTCGAAGATTTAACAAAGAATTTTAAACACATAACAAAAACATACCGTTATCGATTGGCCCATAGTGGAAGAAGGACTTGCTGAAAGTCTCCGGCAGGGTATTTATATAAGCGCCTGTGTTCGATTCAATGTCATTAATTGGTACCATTCGTTCATCAGCAACAAATATGCGTACTTTTGACCAATCGATATCTTCTAATTCTGCTAGCAGTGGTGCCACTATAGTCGGCATCGAGCCACCTTAAGATATTTCACGGCTTTGATCATATTTCAACACACTGACAAGCTTGACTTGTGGTAATGGTAAGAAATGTATACGACTTAATGGATCGAAAAATTTCTTACCACTATAAAAATTTATTAAAATAATTCTTACTATTTTACTAATTTCTTAGTTTTATTTTCTCTCCTTCCTATTTCAATGTGCTATGCAACGTTAATCGTGCGCTAAAACTCGAAGATTAGTTTCCGCCAGCTAGATGGCTTTTCCCTCAACAATTCTTTCATTCGTTTTCGATGATAAACTGACTTTGGCGCAGACCAGGAAGTCGAAATAGCGGGACAGCTCCTTTGTAAAACTTGAAAAAAATAAAACTTGAAAAAAAATTGAAAAATCCTTGCATCAGGCTGTTGTTGCTGCTAGTGCATAATCATTCTGACTACTTCTGTGCAGCTACATCTCCCACAGACAATGACAAACGAATTGGCTTTTGAAATATTCTTTTCGTACGAGGAGAACGATGATGCATCATGGGTACGTATCATAACATCCAGCAATTCTGGGAGCTTTGTGGTAACCTTTTTTGGGTATAAAAGTGTCAGGTAGCTTCTACGATTTACGTGGTCATCCCACTAGTAACTCTGAAGTTTGCCTCACCTCCTAAAAAAGACTCCAAAGCTCACTGGATCTTTTAAAAGAAGCATTTCGTCGTTTTCAGTAAAATGTCTTTGATCGTCTGCGGAACATCACTACTCGTTCCGAAAGCCTAGCTACTCTTGGATCACGACAAGACATGTTTTATCAGGACATATAGCGATGAGAAACAGATCCTGACAGAATTTGCTGAACGAAATTAAAATTCAAAAATCGCTCAGGTAAAAAAGGAACTCATGAGCTGCGTCTTTGAAAAATGCCCACGTGGAGAAAGTCGACGAAGTGAAAAATGTGATTCTTGTTGGTAAAAGTGACTATTCTCTCTGTGTTCGTCTTTTATAAGAAGTGAAGGCACTCCCGAAATCGTCCGATTAATTATAGCAAGAATCAAAAGATGACAAGGTGACAACGGCTTCATGTTTCGAAGGTTGCTTACAAGCAGGCTGATGGTGGATTTGATTCCCTCGCACACGGTAGTACCAATTTATCATCGAAACGAATGAATGAATCGTAGAAGAGTTGATTGTCCGTCGATGGAGACGAATTTCTGAGCTATTGCACAACAACAGCGTTACTTCTCAGTACGCTATGGCACTTAATAAATTTTAAATAAATAGCAGCGCGAACCAGGGCAGTCGGTACGATCATAAGTTCTGTGCAATTCCGTCCACTCAACGATTGCTTGCTAATGATTTTCACTGCACTGAATTTAAATTTGAGGGGTTGCACGTGGGTAAGGAAAAGTCCCTCAAAACTTAGCTTCCTAGATTTTGCGGTTTTCGAGATAATAATTTACCTGCCAAAAGCTTCACTGGGCAGTATATGCGTATATGTTGCTCGCGGGTACGGGAAGGCTGAATTTAAATTTTCTGGACCGCAAGTAAGTAGAGGACATACCACAAAACTTCAGTCTTCTAGCTTCCGCGGCTCTTGTGCCAATAATTTTACCCGTCAAAACTTCTACAGATCCATACGCGTTACCCGCGGGTACGGGGAGGCTGAATTTAAATTTGCGGAGTCACACGTGGGTGGGGGACATTCCCCCAAATTTTGAGCTTTCTAGCTTCTCTGGTCCTCGAGTTGAAAGTTGCGGACAAGATCATGCGGACACACACACACGAACAACCCCGTGCCAATATGCATTTTGTGCTGCTGTTATATAGCACAAAATGCATTTTAAAAAAATGTGTGAGTGCAGTCTAGTTAATTAGAAAAATTTAAGAAATGCCAAATTGCTATTCACCAGAAACAGCAATTTTTGCGCCATCTCGTTCAGCTGCTGCTTTCGTCAGAATTTCCGTAATGAAAATTCCCAGCATTTTTCGCAAGTCAGTAGTATCTTTGCTGGGGACCGTTATGATGCCATTAATCAGTGAAGCACGATCCAGGAAATCAGCAAACGTTGTCATTTTTAAAGGATGAAAGCCTGAAAAAAAGAATATAAGCTGAGATGATTCGTCAGAGAATTGATTAGTGGAATCCTCGATATCGCACGAAAAAACCCATCAAATGATGAAGCGGAAATTGATAAGATACCATAGTCTGGGAATGGCAATGTTTGGGACGAAACAGTAATGTTCAACTACCCAAAAGACACTTTATTTATCCATATTATCAATATCACAACCGTCATACTGACAAGGTCCAGTTGTGGTGCTGAATAGGAATGTATAGAACTTCATGAACCGAAACATTTCATGTTCGTCTGATTATTTTTGAATTTTTTTTTTTTATGTTTTACATATATTTTTATGCTTTTTTCTGCATCTATGCACTGCAGAAAACGCATATTGACGAGGGGTTGTCTGTGTGTGTGTGTCTGTGTGTTTGTCTGTACCGACTCTCCATTTCGTGACCCACAAAAGCTACAGGTCTGAATTTTGGGAGTTTAATCTACATGCGTATACGGGGCCCCCTCTCCTAAATGAGTGCTCTTACCCGCGTGGTATCCACGTACGGGCCCGCTAAAGTTTTTCCCGGGCAAGTTGCTAACTTGAGGACCCAAAAAGCTAGAAGACTGAAATTTTAAGGGAATGTTCCCCGTTTAAGTAGGTATTAATGCGTTCAAACCCAGTCGTCGGGTATGCATGGTACCGACGTACGGGCCCGCCAAAGTTTTTCTGGCAAAATCGGAGACCTGAAGAACTAGAAGATTGGAATTTAAGGGGATATTCCACGCCCACGTAAGTATTAATGAGTTCGAACCCAGTCCCGGGTATGTGTGGTCTCCACGTACGGGTCCGTGAAAATTTTTTTCGGGTAAGTTGCTAACTCGGAAGTCAGGAAAGCTAGAAAGCTGAAATTTTAAAGGGATGTTTTCAAACAGCCCCGGTAATCAGTCTCAATTCTCTTAGCTAAAAACATCTGCCGAAAAAACCGATACCGGTAGTGAAAAAAACTGCGGGGAACTCTGCAAAAAACGCATCTTCGCACGGGCAGCCCGTGCGCTGGCCAATTAT